CGTGACGCATCGTCCGCGCAGCGCCCGCCGCAACCCGCCGCGCCGCGCCAGGCCGCGCCTACGCCGTTGCCAAGTGCCCCAGACCAAGGCCCGGGGCGCGATCGCTCGTTGTTGTTTTTTGCGTTGGAGCGATGGGTTTTCAACCGCTAATAAAGGAAATTAATAACGTCCTTTCTTCATTCCAATGTTCGTTCACGACACAACATACGATTTGTTTACAGCATCAGGACAATCTTTAATGGCCGTGTAGGATTTAACGTGCCGTGCAGGAATTAACTTCAAATGCATTTTGTTCACATGTAATTGCGAATGCAAATGGTACTTTATTCCAACTTCCTTTCCCGCGTTTCATGCGTTTTTCGTCATTGTTTCGTTTATTTTGAGGAGCTATATTCAATTAACTTCGATATTTCTTTAAATTTTTATTCGCTAAGATGTTATAACCCTGCTTCGGAACTTTTCTTATTTTGTTTGTCTTTAGATTTTATGAAACTCAATAATTCGTCGGGCTCAAACTTCGGAACTCTTTACCGGTAACTGCTAGGAGGCCCTTCTCGTGAGGCATATAGCTAAGAACGAAGCACGCCCACCGCCATGGGTATTGATCCTGACCGTGGTATCGTGTCCGCCATGAGCGCGGGAGACGGCGAATTTGGGCTCCAAGGCCGCCTCGAGTCGATGTAGTGGCCCCACCCTCCTCTTGTAAACGTCAGCAACGCATTTGAGAACCTCTCCTTTGTACACAGGATGCATGTTGCGAGTACCAATTGGTGCTTGCTCACCTCGCATCCTGGTTGACTCGAGACCGACGTGCTTGCTAATACCCTGCCTCTATCAAGTGATAAGTCAGACTAAGAGGTCAAATATTCCTACATCATGACATTTTATTTGTAGGAAAATGTCCTCTGATTATACATCTTGATCAAACTGTACATCAACTTATACATCTTGACTGAATAAGTTGTAAGTTTTCTTGAATTCGGAGTTGCACTTTTTTTTCTTAGAGGATTAGTCTCAATGAGCATCTAAAGAGTATACAAATAAATGGATTTTGAGATGGTACTTGTTTTTTAATTTATTTTAAACCAGAAATCCCTTTTCTTTACTTAGTTTCTTTACGTGCTTTCTAAACTTATGGATTGTTTAGTGTAGTGTAATGTTTAAGTATAGTGTGATTGTGTGTGATAGATGATAATTACAATGCATGTCGTAACTTCGAATGAGCCCCTCTCGCGGGGTCTGGTTCTCTTTCCGCCCTTCCATTGTTCGCGCAGATATAATGAGTAGTAATTCAGCCTCCCACTTGCGAGGGTGATGCAAACGAGTGCAGTATGCGTCACGCGGTATATTCATGACGATTGTGCTGTGCGTGCACCGGCGGATTTGGGCGATGTTTTGTTGGAAAGCTTTTTAAGAGAAGGTACTCATTTTTCTAGAATTTTGTACGCACGACTAGTTTCAGAACATTTCGAAATTCGTTGCAGATAGATATTTTTTGTGTCAGCAGTGGGTCTTAGTGAAATATACACGGAACTGTGCTATCAATCGGAAGTGGATCGTCTTCAGGGAATTTTTAATGTGGTAGGAAAGTTTTGAAAGTTGTGTTAGTGAAAACGTTATGTAAAAATAATACATTATTTTACATATTTCTCTTTATCTAAAACATTGTGGTGATTATTATCTCCGATAATACAGAATTTTCATAATGGTGCTACCGCATTTCGACGGAAGACTAGAACTTCCTTGCGTAGAAATTCCAGCACGATGTAAATGGACAAGCGCGCACTACCGTGATCAGTACGGCGCGTAGTTGGCGAGTGTATTGTGTGACTCTCTTACGCCTACGTACGTATTTCCGCCGCTGAGTGACTCGCCTTTCAGCCGGAGGCTGTTCCTTGAGCGTCGTATTGTGTCGGAAGAGGACGCCGCGCGGTTCCTCTTGCAGGCGATTAGCGCCCGACCGTAATTGGACTGGAAGCGTCTCCGGTCGCCGCGAGGCGCGAATCGGACGCCCTACCCAGCCCCGCCTCCCCGGCGCGACCTAACGAACCCTCTCTGCTCGCTCGTGTTGCAGGTGAACGACTTCCTGTCGGGCAAGGCGCCGCTCAACCTGACGATGCGGCTCGGGGACCACATGATGCTGATCCAGCTGCAGCTCTCCACCGTCACGCCGTCCTCCTCGCGACGTTCCAGCGGTGGCACCAGCAGCAGCAGC